CGTGTCGACACAGCGGCACGCACCTTGAGCCTCTACCCAGCACGAGAGTGGCTGAAACAGCGCTGGAGGCTTACGCTGCGAGTAGCGACTTTGGAGGATTGCGACTTTCTGGCTATCTCCTGTCGTATATTTAAAATATATCTAGAAGCAAGGGCGATGTTCATGGATTTTCTCTCTATTTTTTTTTTTCCTCTCTCTCTCTCTATATTTGGTCAAACATAACAACAAGCAGGCAGCCCTATGAGGGTGATCACAAGCCGCCACTTGAAATCAGAGGTGATGAAGACCCTGGTGACGGAGTGTTGATCAGCCGGTGAACGAATTTCATCTTCATACCGCAGCTGTAAAATTTAGATCAAATTAGTCAAGTAAAGGAGAGGTTCTCCAGCCTCCATATGTTTTTTTTTCCTGGCATTTTCAAGACTTTAGGAGGGATATAGAGATGTTCAGAGCATGTCAGGTTGATATGTTCTGATGAGAAAATCTCTCGCGATCGCCGCCGCGTAGTGCCGCAGGAGCTTCTGGACTGGGAGCAACAGCTTGGGTCGCACTGGCGGCAAGGGCCTGAGGTGCAGGAGGTGCAGGAGGTGCAGGAGGTGCAGGAGGTGCAGGAGGTGCAGGAGGTGCAGGAGGTGCAGGAGGTGCCTGCCGATGCAGAGAGGCGGGGAGGAAGAGATGGGGTCTCTGAAAATGAGGGAAACATGTGGAAAAAAAAAGCCATGGGGAAAGCCATGGGAAAATGAATGAACATTGATAAATTGCCGGTTGTTGACAGTATGATGGACATGTTTCGAAGTCATGTTCCCTCATGGGACTTTGGGCCCAATTTGACCAGACGAGTAGCCGGGCAGATGAGCTCACGAGATCTTGGGGAAGCGCCAGAACTTGGGCCCCAGGGGACAGCTTGACCGGCCATGTTTAGTCTTTGGATGCCCATTTTTTCGGGCCAATAATTTTGAGCCATACCCTGATAGATCTGATAGGGATTATACGACTATCTTTCTTGGAGCCCTTTATTTCATGATTATTCCATTATAATCCCATTATATAATCCCATCATTATTATTATATAACCATTAGTATTTACCATTATTAACCATTAGTATTAACCATTATTAACCATCAACTGCCTGGATTACATACAGCTACTGCTGCAAGCTGCAAACAAAAACTGTAACAGGACCCATGTCGCCATGTCTCATTCAGATCTCTATGGATTGGGAGTAGCCGACGCAGCAAATTCGACAAAACTTGGGTTTGACAATTTCTTAGTGACTTAGTGAGTTGAGAAAGTGCTTAATTGGATATATTTGCAATTATTTGCAAAGATACTGACCACGAATGATCATGATATGTTGATTTGAGTTTCATTGAAAATTATAATTGTACTATTGTCTGAAGCTAGTGAATTTCCCAGCAAAATGTATGAAAATGTGACATGTGCATCACCGGGAGACCCCTCATGAAACCACCCAAACTTCACCCAGGCCGTGGCCGACGGAGCCAGCTGAAGGAGAGCTTGGAGACTCACCCGAGGTTTCCGAGATCCAAGAGATCACGGCAGAGGTTCCGGACATGGCAGAGACCGTGGCAGCTCAAGGCGGTCAAGCCGGTGCTGGCCATGGCTTTCCATTCACTTAAAACAGGCGCTCCAAAAAGGTCTCTAAGACCAGCTGACTGGGCCGGAAATAATGGAGAATCGTTGGGTTTACCATCTGGTTATTTAACATAGCCATGGAAAATCCCTTATAAATGGAGGTTTCTAGCTGGGAAAATCATCTATAAATGGGCCATTTTCCACGGCTATGTTAAATAACCAGAGGGTACATGGGTTTACTATATCACAATGGGACCCGGGAGTGCGAAGTTCCTTCGACAGGGGAAATGCCTTGAGGGTTCATCTATGGCCACGCTTGCCTTTTAGCATGGTCTGGAAATTTAGATCTACTGTAATCATTTGTAATCTGTATCTAGCTATGTATCTACTTATCTAGCTATCTATCTATTTGTCTATTTATGAACAAATTGCATCAAGGACTTTGAGGACAAAAATCTTCAGGGAGAGTAGAAGGTTTTCGCAATCTTCAAACACTGCACTGCTTTTGGATGCTTTGGTGAAGTTTCGATAAAACAATCAGCATCAATCAATAATGTGTACCCTTTGGTAATTTAACATCGATATGGAAAATCACCATGTTTAATAGGTCAATCATTGAACTAAACGGGCCATGACTTCCAGCGCAGATTGTTGTATTACCGGTATTCCAATGATCCATGACTATCCATGACTATCATGATTCATCCACTATTCATCCATTATTCATCCCATGATTTATATATCCATAATTCATCCATTATTGTTGGCTATACCAATGGATTGGTTTCGTCAGGAAAATCGAAACCGGAAACCATCGATTTTCCCATTAGCATCATGTTTTTTTGCTGTAAATTTTCCCTTCAATCCATTCCCATAGGATCCATGTATGGTATATATGGTAACATTTACCAGCAATATACCCCAAATGTTAGCATATATACCATACATGGATCCTATGGGATTGACTCTAGCCCCATAAACCATTGTAAAAATCACGGGATGCTAAGCCTGGGTAGATCTGGGTAGCCCTAGGCCGTGGCAGCCCTGGAGAAATTGAGTTCGCCACATCCCAGCCGTTTTTTTTTTGGGAGTCGAACGGAAGTCGAACGGAAATAAACGATACCCCTCTGGTAAACATAGAAAAAGCTATTGAAAATGGCCATAGGGCCATAGAAATAGTGGATTTAGCCATTAATAGCATGGTGGATCTTTCCATAGTTAACAGTTTACCAGAGGGTAATAAAAGTAGTTTGCATATGTGTTTCTTTTTTAGAATTGGTGTTTTCAACATTTCAACGTCTTTGTTATTTTGAATGTTATTTTATGAATCATTGAAATGGGATGATCCCCAATGATGAAGATAGTTTGAAAATAAAAGTTGGCACAACCAAATGTATTCATAACCCCCTTCCAAAGATAGAACTATGATTTACCGTGATGATCTTTGATGTTCAATCTGTTCAATGTGCAAACGCATCTTAGTTGGTCTTGCATTGTCTATTTTTCAGGGGTTACGTCATATAAACAAAGGCTTATAAGGCTTGATGGAAGGTCCAACACTTGCATAATACGCTTGCCTCTGAATGTTAGATTACCATCCGATAATCAAACATGTCAATGGAACATCTCCATTTATAGATGATTTGTCCGCACAAACCTCCATTTATAGGGGATTTCCGAGCCAGCCATGTTTGATTACTGCAGGCTACTTGAGAGCAACGCAGGTAACTTCACTCATGATGAACTTTCCTGGCAATGTCAGGGAGAGGTTTTCTCCCATACCAACCTGCCCTGTGGTAATTCAATAGCTATGGAAGTGGATAGTATGATAGTCATAGCCCAGCAGTTCGATGATGTCACTGTGGTTTTCCATGGTTTTTCCACCATTTTTCGTTGCTTTTTTCGTTGGCCCTCTCCTCTCAGGTGCAAGCCCCGCCCTGGTCGCTTGCTTCCTGGGCGATAGCGACGAAGCCGTCCGTTTCTTTGGCCGAACTTTGTGGTGGATGGTGGATTTCCCATGGGGAAAATCCCATGAAATGATGGTTGATATACATGTTAACAATGATGTGTATATATATATATGGGTTTCATAAATGGGGGATCCCCAAAATGGATGGTTTATAATGGAAAATACTATTGAAATGGATGATGAACAGGGGTACCCCCATGTTAGGAACCCCCCATACATACCATAACCATAGCCATAGGCATAAGCATACGCAGAACCAGAATCATACTGTAGATAGTCACCGGAATACATAGATTGGCCCCGATATTATATTTCATATTTGAAATCCATGATTTCCTGTAGATGTTCCCTTAGACCAATCCATTGAGACAGCCAAAATCTGAAAGAATGGGCACTCACATAGCCCTTTGACAAGTGATGACAAGTGGTTGGGTGGTTTGGAACATATTTTATTTTCCACAATATATGGGATGTCATCCTTCCCATTGGCGAATTCATTCATTTTTCAAGATTGTTTTTGAACCACCAACCAGTGACAAGTGGTTGGTGGAACCCAAACATCAACGGGCGGACGTGTCACCGGAGGCAACGATGCTCAAAGGATTTACGAGGTCGAGCCGGACAGCTTGTGAATATGACGATGGGATCTACATTGGATTCACCGGAGGAAGATATGGTGATATTATCACACATTTTCAAGTATATGTATGTATATATATATATTACTATACTATACTATACTATACTATACTATACTATACTATATATATATATATTATATTATCATATATTATCCATATAATTACTATAGTTATGATTTATAACTGTAGTCCTTATTCTTTATTATATTCATATAATCTGTTCCCACAATATTGAATACCTCATATGGAACCCCCAAACTGAACAGATCCACTACGAAACCGCGGTCCATTTGAAAGGTAGATGGATTGGAGCGACCATTCTGTGTGGAAGACGGGGCTTTTGTAAACAAATATGTTGCTGCGAACAATATACAGTTATAGAATATATATATATACATAATTATAAATATACAGATATACATGTATTCTGTCCAAGGAAGGAGAATACTCCACACCTTGGAGTTTCCTTGCTCCAAAAGTAGACCCTTTCAATGGCATTTGGAGCTCTCTTGCTGATCCTAAAACTGATCCCTCTAAAAACGGGTGACTCGTCAAAAAGATAAACTTTGATTTGTTTTTTTTTTGGCGGTGAAGTCATGTCTTGTTCTTCGACTGTTTCATTCGCACAACAGTTGGACTGTGTTCTCGAAACACAGTTCAGTCATGTTCAATTGGGATTTCTGTTGCTTCAACTCGGGGCCGCGGAAGTTTCCCATGAGTTTCTTCAGGCGTTGGCAGGTGAGGAGGAGCTTTCAGAGGCGAGTGCGGCAAATCAGCCAGTTTTCTACCCCACTTTAGGTTGAAACAGGCACTCCCTGTCTCCCCATGTTGGTTTGTCTCGAAACAGGGTATATCATGATTTATATCTACCCCCCCTTTGATGAATTGCTTATAAAACTATTGGATTTGGGATGGCAAAATCGTGTAACATCATTGGCCAAGCCCCATAAATGATACGTAGGAAAGGAACACAACGTCAGGTGCCGGAATCTTTCTCATGGTCTTGATGGTCTGAATGGTCTTGATGGTCTTAAATCATGGTTTCCAGGAGTGTTGGGAAGGGAAGTCTAGTGCAAGGAATTGTTGAGACTCCATATTTTGGACTTTATTTATTTATTTAGCATTATTTAGCTATAACGGATTATAACATGGAGGTGTGTTGCTTTATTCAAGATGTGTATGATCTCAAAACGATTTGAAATCATCAAATCCATGATGGACTATAGAAAGTAAAGGTGACCCGCAAACCGTTCAGCGACACGATGATAGTCGCCCGATCATCGGGCATTTTTCAGGCGTTCCCGGTGGAGGACGCCGCTTCAAGTGACTCTCATCCACTCTCTGGTACTCATCTTATATACATCCTAGGAAACATGGGAAAAAACATAGGAACATATAGGAAAATACCTTATATAATATCAATGGAGGTTTTATCGAAAATCATCGAATTGAAGGATTCTCCAGCCATGAAGCTGAGCACGGCCAGGCCGATTGACATCGCGTGACGTCGCAGCTTTCATCGATTGGAATCAAAAAAACGGGGAACGAGCACAGTCATCTTTTTTTTGGCAAATGTGTTGCAGAAAGAGACAACTTAGATATCGAACCAATATCTCAGATATCTATAGATATCTCATACCAACAATGATACAAATACTAACGGCAACTTTAATAGGTCTTAATGGTGCAGAGTTTTTTGTTTCGTCCAATGATTTTTGGGGATGGCTCAAGTGCCGTAGTGAAAGTGGTCTGATTCCATATGGGGAAATGTGCTACACAAATCAACCATCTGGAGTGCCACCTGCCTTACGATTTTTCGGGATGTGTGTAAAGTTACAAAGGGTTTTTTGTCACAGACATTCTTTAGAAACTTCATGGCATTGCGAAGTGAACATGATGAACATGATGTCAAAAACGCAAAAAGGTTGACTTAGGGAAAAAAACTCCGCAGTGCAGGGTATTGCAGGGTGGTCATCAGATTCTTGCTTAGATCCAAAGCCCAGTGGCTGGACGTGTAGGGCATCCACAAAAATCTTGGCCAATGGAGGAGATTAAGGCGGATGAACGGGGCGGACTTGACTGGATGAAAATTGCGGATCCTACTGTGCAATGATGATGTTGTTGTTGTTGTTGGGAAAACCACTAAAGAGGCTGCAATCATCTGCAATCCGTTATATACTCCATTAGTTGTTGGACATACGGACATACATTAATAATATTAATATGTATTAAAAAGGAGTTTTGAGAAAACTATCCAGCTCGACCTCAAATTCAATTGTTTCTAGACGTATAGGTCAACCTCAAGTGACAGATGTTTGGAATGAGTAGCACAGCCAGAGGATGTCCAAGTCTTGTTGGTTCTGAGGTCTCATGACCTCCTTGAGATGATAAAACATGTTTCAACCAATGGTTAATTTATGTTAATTGTCGGTTGGGGTGGTTTGGAATGTCAGGACTCACCCAATGGTGATGATCACGAGCAATTCCAAAGCACCAGTTGCTGCAATCATTCATGGTTTGTTCCCAGACTTGCTTCAGACGGGATAATATTTTTCACGGGAAAGCCTGCCCTTTTCTGATCTGGTAAACACCATCATTGTTTCCTCCTGTTTCTTTCCCTCACAATCATCAAGAATCTTCTGTTTGGAGGTGTTTTACAATGTGTCCAACATATTCCAACATTGTCAAGTGGTTTCAACATGTGTCAACCCACATCAAAAACTGGCTTTTCATAGGCTTTTCATAGGGGGTGTTCAACGTTTTTCCATAGGTCTTTTCCCAACATCTTGGGATTGGCTGCCCGTCCCCGTCGCAAATCACCCGTTGAGGTGTCGAAGATGCCATGACGGAGCGGCTCTTGGCGGGCGCCGCTCTGCTTGGGTGCGCCATGGCGGCGGCGATTTGGGGAATGTCATAGTTTTTTAAAATACCCTCTGGTAAACTAACATAACTATGGAAAATCACAATTTTTAATGGGAAAATCCACTATAAATGGCCATTTTCAATAGCTATGTTAAATTACCAGAGGGTAATATATACATTAAAACTATAATATATATATGATATGTCATATATATATATATGGACATATAATGAAACTATTATATTCTATATGAAATTATAATAATATTGTAATCTATATATATATATACATTCTATATCATTCTATATATGGGGGTTTCCATAAATGGAGGTACCCCAAAATTTGGATGGTTTATAATGGAAGATATAAATTATAATGGAGGACCTGTATATATATATATACATATTATATTTATAAAAAAAAAATGAAAGATGGTGGAGTGAAGGCAAAAACAACATGGGGGTATAATATCAATGGGGCATCTAAGTATAAATGCACATTTGTATTATACTATATTTATATATCTATATATCTGCTTGGTGGTTTGGAACATGACTTTTATTTTTCCATATATTGGGAACAATCATCCCAGCTGACTTTCATATTTTTCAGAGGGGGTGAAACCACCAACCAGATTATATAATATTACAATATATATATATAATATACATACACACAATGTTACATTAAACCATGGTAACAACCCATTACGTAACAACATGTTGTTAAAAAGATTTAAACACTTATCTCTGAACCGCGCTTGGGATAGCTTGGGATCAGTCGAATGCTCATGTTGATACGTCCACTAAAACGACAGAAATGTGGTATTACTTCGCGTGATCCCAGCCTTCGGACATTTGTCCTGACATATCATACAGTCATACGGTCCAGGTCTGGCTAATATATCCTCACATATCTTCTGAAATATATCCTGCTGCATATTTCCTGAAATACTGTATCTTCTGGCAAATGTTCTGACGCATATTCTTACATATTTTCGGGCAAATATTCTGATATCTGCCCTGGCGAATCTCATGTCACATCTGGGTGAATGACACATTCAGACGTTTGCTAACCGTTAGTTTTCATCTGCCTTCAAAATCTTTCTATCTTTAAAATATATTCTGACACATCGTGATCATCATGTATCCTGACACTGGAAATGTTCATACCAGTACATTCTGATAAAACATGATAAAACGTCTGACCTTTAGTCTGACATAAATTCATATTCTGATTTGAAATACCATCTGGTTATGACTCACATAGCCATGGAAAATCACCATTTGTAATAAGTGAACCATCTATTTCTATGGGTCATCTATACCATGGCTATGTTAAATAACCAGACGGTATATTGGGACATGTGTCCTGATCCTCTGACATAACGTACACACGAAAATACACTCTGACATATTCTAAAGATTCTAAAGTTTGCTTTCTGTCGAGTGGGGCACTGAAACATGGGGGGCTTACAAACTGGGCGACAAATGGACCCTTGAAACATGACCATCAAACTCTGGTGTAGCTGCGGAGCGTCGAACTGGCAGCTGCGGACCTGCGGACTGGCCCGAAACTTCAGAATGTGAAGGTATGATAGGTATGATATGTCAATGTCAAGAAAACTTCAGATCTCTCGCATAGATTTGGCAAAAGGTTGCAAAAGGCTCATGTTTGAAAACAAGATTCCTGGGAACCCCATCCCTGGGAGTTCTATGGGGTGTTTGTTGTTGGGAACGTAGCAGTCGTCCTTGGGTACCCCCGGGTAGCTACGCCATGGAAGTGCAGTTGGCAGATGGACTTGCCGGGCTCTTTGGGGCGTGGGGTTTCAACAAAGCTTTCATGAGGAGACGGGTCATCCGGAGAAAGCACATCCACATTGTGGACATATCCCTGGCAAACATGTTCGGATTTTTCAAGTTTTTTTTTTTAAACCCAAATTAAAGGCTGTTCCTTCCCCATCGAGTAAGTTTTAAACTTGTGGATCCACTGTGTCCAAGTTGGCGCATGGGCATGCTCGCGAGCTCGGCAGGAACTGGTTGGCGCATCAGAATCTTCCAGATGAGGAGATGCGTGACATCCCAAATCCCTGGAACGAAATGCAATTGCACATCAGCTACAAATTCGCACAGGCGGGTTGGACGGGGTGGACGGAGTGGACGACCAGGGACCCTGAGAGGACTTGGAAGCCGGCGGCACCATGGATGCTTGGGAGGGCCTCCTCATTTTGAACATGTGAATGACATATACAAAACTCTGACCAGACCATTGGGCGATATTTTTGGGTAAAGATATCTTGGATCATGCTTTGAGCTGTCTACATCTGCGCTCAGGCATTTTCCGTGATCGGCCTTGGCATAGGTGCGGCGACCCCTGGGAACAGAGGTTGCTGGTAACCCCAAAAAGAACCACGAGATGTCACACTACTGACTATATATGTGTCAAATGTTTGCCCTCCCGAAATCAAAGAATTGGAAGTTTCCCTTAAAATGGGGGTAGCCCTAAATAGATACATGTCCTCCATGTGTTTTCAGGATTTCCATGGATTTCCATGAAATAAACCATCCAGCTATAAAGGGTGCCCCCATGACAATCCACGGAACCCCCTTTAAGGAGGTCACCGAAAGATTTGGTCACCATGGAACAAATTGTCAATGGATTGGCTGGGACAATCTTCACCGGAAACCATCGATTTTTCCTATGAAAAGAAAGGGTGTTTCAAGCGTTTCATTTTCAATTTCCCATTTTTGTGGCGGAAAAATTCCAATCCATTGACATACCGAAGTCGCAGGATTGGTGATGACTCGCAAGCCCAATCGCTATCGGAAGATTGGGCAGGCCACGCTCCTTGGGAGTTGCTTTGGTGCCGGTCCTGCAGGCTTTGCTGCATGGCAACTTTTGAAAAAAAATGGAAGATGGTGGAGTGAAGGCAAAAACAACATGGGGGTATAATATCAATGGGGCATCTAAGTATAAATGCACATTTGTATTATACTATTAGATATATTTGAAAATATAATATGTATATATATATATTAAGATATATTATTAAGCATTATTAATATTAACATTTACACATTCATATATAATATGCATAAATGGATACGGTGGAAAACCAGCAGTATGAGTTGAGTTTGTCTCAAATGAGTACCTGAAAATAGCGAAGCCAAAGTGGAGGACATTTCCAAAGCATCGCAACATCTTGGAACCCGGGAACGACGAACAGGTGACCTTTCTTGGTGGCTTCCCTGGGATCCTACAGCTGTTAGTCGACTAGGCAAGCTTGGTGCTTGTAGTTTCATCATGATCTCATGGGAATCCCATTGAAGTTTCCCTTTTTAATCTATCAAATCCATGGAAAGATGGGATATTTCATGGGAATACCATTGAAGTATCCCATGAAAAAAGATCTGATCAACTGGCTATTCAGTCCATATTTCCACATCAATCCATATTTACCCTCTGGTAAATGTTTACAAAACTATGGAAAATCACAATTTTTAATGGGAAAGTCCACTATTTCTATGGTCATTTTCAATAGCTATGTTAAATTACCTAGTTGCCAGTTGATCAGTTGCAGAACTGTTTTTTTTGTCGTTGGTGAAGCCACCAGGGTGGCTATGGCCGGCACTGAGGCACTTCAAGAGTTCCACATTGAATGAGGAGGAGATTTACGTGCCGCAGCAGATATTAATTTTTGGTGTTGAGTTCGGTGTCGAAAACGTGAAAAGACGATTTCGCTCAGTTGGTTTCTGGAGAGATTTCTGGATAGAAATTGGGGAGAGCAACAGCAAGTTGCGGTGAGAAAAAATGGGGTAGGTTTAGTGGACAAACCCATTAGATGTCCTGTATACCAATATCACCCAATGATCAGCTTCCCAGTCCTACATGGTGGCGGCCACGTCTCTTTGCAAGTCGACGTATCCCGTCTCGCCCCAGCGTTGTAGAAATATATATATATATTATTGGGATGGGAAGAGTCAAAGTAGGATTCAAGCCACTGACCATCATAGACCCACAAGCTCTCCCACTCCAATTTGATCATCATCCCACATTATCCCATACTGGTACATACTGTATATTATATGTATATATACACTGATATATCCTATATACGATCCCCCTATTTTTCCCTAATTCCCCACCAAACAACAAACTTTGTTTAACAAAAGACAATAATATGATACAGGTATCCATCATAAAATCCCAGGACGCCAGTGGGAATCCCCGTTCCCAAAGTGCTCTTCCGTTTGGGGTTTTCCCTAGGACAGAGCCTATCGTTTGCGCTACAATCGGCACCAGATCCGCGTCGATCAAGGCTTCGAGTTCGGAAACATCCTGGGACTCGTGGCTGGTTTCCTCGTCTCGCGAGGCGGGGTGATCCACCGAGATACACGTGAGACATATCATATTACTATATATATTTAATTTATATAAAATTATATTTAATATTATTATCTATGAATCTATAATGATATATCATATTGTATACAGGTATATGCGATATATATATATAATATATATAATATATATATATACATATCATGATGTATTTGAGAGATCGGTTGGATAAGTTCAGGCCGCCAGCATGGTGCTAAAAAAAAAACTCAGGGCTGAGATTTCCCCGAAGACTTCGTTCGAAGAGTCCGCATCGCCGAATCTTGAAGCCTCCCCAAACACATGGGCTTTGTTGAAGGTGATTTTTGTTATTTTCCCAATGGAAAATCCATTAAATCCACCATGGGAATCTATTAAATTTCTTGGGTGAACCATGGGATTCTATAGTATTATTAGTATTCTATGGTGTTTTTTTGTTCCAATTTTTGGGGGACCCCTATGATGCAAATCCAAGAAAAGAATCATTGATTCTATCAACATCAACAGGTGTTTCTGGAGCCAAGGCGCCAAGCACCGCAACAGTTGGCAACAAAATAAACCCATTGGTTCAAATTTTCGGATAGCCGAAAAGTCGAAAAGTCTCAAATGTCGATAGATTGGACTGTCATTTTTGGTAGCCATTTCATCTTGGTGTATCTACTGACCTGATTTACCCATTTAAATCTCCACATTCTGGTGACTGGGGAGATAGGTTTATGTGGAAATTCACCAAAGTGTACAGAATTTAGCAACACTGAAGTGTGATTGGCATATACAATATATTATGTATGTTTGCATGATCATGTACAATTTTAGACAGATTATACACACATGTTTTTATACACACACTATGTATGTACTATATGCATAATCGTTCTATGTGTATACATGATATGTATATATGTAAATAGCTCGTAACAATGAAATTGGTCTTGTTTTTAACGCATGAGGTCCCGATTTGTCGATTGAAGAAACTTCTGGCCAACTGAGAGCCCTAAGCGACGGGTTCGTTGGCTAATATTCCAAATATTTTGGTATTCATTTGGGTATACTTGGATGATCATGTCAAATATGAAATAAATATATAAATAAATTTACACATATATATATATAAATTATATAAACTATGATTTTTGGATTTTTGATATGTTGCTTTATTTCAACCATTGAGAGTTTGGGTCACAAATGACCCCATACCATAGATTGATGTGTGGCAGTGCCGCAAGCACGTTGTCCCGACATAGCAATTTTTGATGTTGATCAGACTTGAAACTCTGCAGTGAAGATAGCACAGAAAAATGGTAACTAGGTCACCCCGGCACCATTTTCTTCCATTGTTCTTGGTGTTTGATTTGTTGGTAATGTGGGCAAACCAACAATAAACCATCATACAGCGACCATTCGGGGATGGTTCGTACAACCCAATTTTGTTGGTTATTTTGGGGATTACCACATGACTGAAATTCCAAGCAGTTCAAGCCGGTGATCATTGAACCAACCACTGGCATCTTCACCCCATTTTGCGAACCGCTGATATCCGATATCTAATGAATTTCCATGAATTTCCCCCAATTGCGTGGTGAAATACCTGGTGATAAATATTTAAGGTACTACTGATTTCAACGTATTTTATTGTATATATATATATAGATATACATATGAGCAGGGATCACCACACACTCCCCCCTGTGGCCTGGGGGTCCCAACAACAACAGTCCTACATGGGTAGTGTTTGTGCAGCTGTAAGTGCTTGATGTCCAGTGTATACATGGAGAGTATCTAGGAGTTTACAGGGAGTATATATGGATATAGTACGTATATCGTATATGGGCACGCTATGCAATGAGGCGTATATACGTACGCTGTAAAACATGTGTAGGTAGTACTGTATATGTAGGGTGTAAGGAGTGTATAGGTAGTGATGAGGCAATGTATATACTACACATAGGTATGTAATGTTACGTACACATACAATGAGTGGTAAACATTGTAAACCATGCGTGAGGTACGCTATAGGCAGTACACAAGCAGGTTTGGGGTAGTATGTGCTCGATTCTGCTAGATTTAAATTGAGATGTTAGAAATATACAGCTAAGGTTGTGGCTCTCAAATGCAAATAACTAGCAAATAACGTAGAAATGGGAGTCTGTGCTTCCAAAATGCTACCAATAGCTTGCAAATAGCTTCGGTTTGGGGGGTAACCACACCATTGGTGGGGATCTTGTGACCTGGATCAACAGCCAAGGTAGCCTGGGAGCTGCCTTGGCAGATGCTGGTCTGGTGGGAGCTCTTGGGATGTTTGGCGCTATGAGTTACATCGCCTACGCCAAGCCTGACAAACTCACCTGGTGAGCTGAGTGACAAATCGACAGAAAGATGTAGACTAAGGCCCTACAGTAGACTACAGGCTTCGGGTTTTCAAGGCCCCCACGTTTTTTTTTTTGAGGGAAACCATGGCACCGGTGAAGAAATTCAGAAAGATGATGACACGTTGGCACCGGAAAAAACCTATGGAAAAATGTTGAGGATGAAGCTGGTGGGGGCAAATACCATGAGCAATATGCAGTGATATCATCTACCCTTTGGTAAACTGTTACATTTTGCTATGGAAAGATCCACCATGCATTTTTCATGGGTAAATCAACTATTTCGACTGGGCCATTTTCAATAGCAAACTGTTGACGTTTACCAGATGGTAGAAAACATAAAGAACCATGAAGAAACTGTTTACTGGTTGCAGGATTGTTCGAATCAGCCATGATGAGGGTCTGCTTCAAACGAGTCTTTTGGATAGGCATAGAGTGTTTCATTGGAATAGCAGTCGGGAATCTACCCCGGCAATGAAAGATCATGCATTTACAGATGATTATTTTGGTGATCTTCACAGGTTACGGGAGGGGGTTGTCAGCCACGAATACCTATGATTACCCTCTGGTAATTTAACATAGCTATGGAAAATCACCATTTTCAATGGGAAAATCCACTATAAATGGCCATTTTCAATAGCTATGTTAAATTACCAGAGGGTACCTACAATTTATCGGCAAAAACCCAACCTTTCTCGTTCAAGGCAGTCTGGAACAACTGGAACCACCGTGGACGTTGACCGCAAAATGGATGATTTATACGAAGAAATACACATTCTCTAGCGATGTATGCCTTCAGTGGTATTTGTTACACCGTTTCAGAACTCTAGCATAGATTGATCTGCGGGAACTATAACTATGATCATGAGTCTCAAGCGTGTTGATTTCGAGCACAAACAGGATGCAACCGATTTCAAGGTCCGGGTTCACTTTTCTACTGGAACTCACCATCGATTCAACATTTCAAAATCAATAAGTTTTTTTTTGGTGGAACGAGGGCACATCCCGCAAAAAATGGAAAAGGGCAAAAACTCAAGAAATGCAACGTACTACAATAGTTTATTGCCAGAGAGCACTCCGGAGAAACAAGTGCAGAGGGAGTTACGGCAGAAATCCTCTCAACATGTCTAAACTCAGTTTAGAGTTAAAACCATCATTTTTATATGTTTGTAATCCTGAAAACCCAATCATTTGTGCATTTTAGAGGCTCAAAGGGTTTTCGAGGGACTCTGAAACCATCCCTTTGGGAAAATCCTGGAGTCGGCCTTCTGCTGACCGGGTGTGTCGTTTGGTGAAACGACCCGTAGCCGCTACAGCCATTTCAATCACTTCCACAAGCGAAGTCGACGCCAGAGACGGAGGTGACTGCGATACTGCGATAGATTTAACTTGAATATGGAGGATGGTTTTGAATTTTGGAGATTCCCCATTTTCGGAAACCCATCTATAAACATATTAAAGTGATGCAATTTTGCCAAATCTTTGAGAGTTGTGCTCACTTTGTAGCGGCATTTGTAGCGTCTATGATCCTCTGTTTCTGTGATCTCCAGTTCCGATCATATCCTTCTCAGAAGCTCGCTGAACATATCCCATAGGATCCATGGTGCTGGTATATATGGTAACATTTACCATCAATATACCCCAAATGTTAGCATATATACCAGCACCATGGATCCTATGGGTGTTTACTCATCGTAATCTCATCGTTAATATTCATCGTGTTGTTGGCTCCTCCAATTTTATGGTGGCTAGCGTGGTTAAAATCCCTGGGTTCAGTGTCACCACAAGAGGTTGGAATGTTCGCATCCGACACCGGAAACGACTCGTAGCTGGCAGCTGGTGGATTTTTGATGATTTTTGATCCCTTTCGAAGTGGGATAATATCAACCTATCGGACTAATGATCCCCTAGTAATTATGGGGTCAACGTTCAACATGAAAAACCAAAGAAATGACTGGCGGTCATCTCCATCCTTTGGTCACAGCTGATCCGCCGTGGTCAAAGATTTGGGCCAGCGAAGTGGCGGTTGAGGGCCTATTTTTTGAGGATTTACCTGACTGTTGCCTCGAACAGGAGAACTGAACCCATGGTTCAGCCAGATACATACAGTATCATACAGTATCATATAGTAATAATCATAAATATAGTAGCAATAATTAATATTTTATGCAGTAATATATAGACAGTGATATATATTAAGTAATGTATATATATATATAGTAATATATACATATATAATAATATATACATATATAATAATAATTTATATATGTAGTGAGATGTATATATATATATTACTATATATATATATCGTAATATTACAGTAATGTATATATGTATATTACAATGTATATATATATATATATATATGTGGCTAAAATACATAGTAGTATATAGCCGATGAGAGAGTAATAATATTATACTGCATCAGACTCTCAGACAGGAGATATTCAGAGGTCTGAGGTATTTTGGTAGCCCAATAATTATCCTCTGGTAAACTAACATACCCTCTGGTAATTTAACATAGCTATTGAAAATCACAATTTTTAATGGGAAAATCCACTATTAATGGTCATTTTCAATAGCTATGTTAGTTTACCATAGGGTAACTATGGCAAATCACCATTTTTCAATGGGAAAATCCACTATAAATGATCATGTTCAACAGCCATTTTGACATAACCAGAGGGTATTGGAATTGCCTCATTTGTGCCCCGCTGTATCTTGATTTTTTACACACATTTGGAGCAACATAGACGTCTTTTCTCAACTGGTTACCCCCTGGTAATTTAACATAGCTATTGAAAATGGCCATTTATAGTGGATTTTCCCATTAAAAATGGTGATTGTCCATAGTTATGTTAGTTTACCAGAGGGTAATGAACAGATGTATGTGATTTTCACTTGTTCACAACCATCCTTGCCATCGATGATACTCTGGTGATTTTACTTCGCCATGGAAAAAGGAATATGGCCCATTTGCAGATGAATTCACCTATTAATTCCATGGTCATTTTCCATCAATTTCCATTGCTATGTTAGATTACATCATCTGTGAATCTAAGAAATCTTCCCCAATGATATCCCCATTCAAGGGATTGGTTTAGTCGGGAAAATCGAAACCGGAAACCATGGATTTTCCCATGAGGATCATGGGGTTTTCCTGTAAATTTTCCCTTATGCCAATCCATTGACACATGTTTTATCACGTTTGCTACATGTTTGTTGTTTTTTTCCACGGGTTGCAACCTGCATGGAATTGGGTGCCTAAAAATCAGCTGTCTTTGGATGACCAAGCCCCGGATGTGGATGTGAATCCCACTTAGTAAGTGGTTTATAACCCATATAAATATAATATATATATATATGGGGATATTCCGATATTCCATGATTTTTTTTTGGGTACTGGGATACCCTCTGGTAAACTAACATAGCTATTGAAAATGGCCATTTATAGTGGATTTACCCATCAAAAATGGTGATTTTCGATAGCTATGTTAGTTTACCAGAGGGTATATACTAGCATTTCTTAAGTGGGGCCCGCACCACGCTGGAAATGTCGCGCCAGGGAGGGGCCTGACCCGAACTGGGTGGACCACTTCTCGAGCTTCATCCTTTCGCAGGCGCCCTTTGCGACAGGGATAAACCCTTGGAACCCTGGTTTTCATCCAAAGTCATAGCTGGTTAATGGATGGTTATTCATCCACATATGGTAAATCATGGTAAATCCCTAGGTTTTGGCCCATCATATATTTAACGTAGACATACGTATGCAACGGTGATTTCACCAACCACAGTTGGTATTTGCTATGTGATGTATCCCTATTATATATGCGAACAAATGAATCCTTGTCCTGGATGTTATTTCAGACCTGTAGTACCCTTGCTACTGGTAGCCGACAATTGCCATGCGGAGTGACACGACGCGTTCCTTTTCTCCATACGCTTGAGCCAATGTTTGGCGGTCACAGCATGTTGTGTTAACACTGCATGCTGTACATGTTGTTTCACTTCGTTCCCTTTAACACCCCCCATGCCCGTGGTATCTTCGAACCACGGACACGAGAGAGGGAACTTTGAATTAAGATGGTTCTGCTACTTGAATTACGCCTATCTACATAAACATGCCATTCGGCTCCCCCTTCCCCACATTCCCGTCGGGAATAATGGTTCAGGGTTCGCCTACTCCTTGGCTGTCGATGCATCGGCGCTCCATCAAGCTGTACAGCGCGAATTATTGCTAGCTAACACCTACTTTTTTACGTTTGCTAGGCATACCACTCACCCGTCGGGAGAAATGGATCGCTTCGCTACCAAAGATTTACGATGCTAACTAACGAATTCACGTGCACTGTGCAGAATCTCATGCAGATTGGGAATATCATAAGTCTTGAACCTAAGCGAATTAGTCTACTGCCTCGCTCAGAGTCCACTCAGTTGGTCTTTTCCTGATCATCTGTTCACAAAGACGATACACATCTTATAGGTCAGTGATCATTTTGATGGATAGAGGTAATTGGTTTACTGCTCACGGCGGACTTTCTTCCATTGAGGTGCTGTTGGAGTTCTCTCCCATCCTGCCGCACGTTTCGGAGCAGCTTTCGGCGATGAAGGCTTTGCAGGCGGTGCCTTTGATGGTTCATGGGACTTCGGCATGGCCTTAGCCTTTGGTGCGCTAGCCGATGAGGATGATGCTGAACCAGTGCCTTCAGGTTTCTGTGAAGGTTGTGCGGGTGGTTTGGCAAACTTGGAAGCCGCAGTATGTCCAACCGCTTTGAATACTTCACTCACCACCTCGTCGCCAAGGGTTGGAGCCATCTTCGTTTTCATCTCGGTCTTTCCTCTCTGCGCCTCAGCTTCAGCCAGTTGAATAGCATAGGCCATTTTGCTGACAAAGTTTTGAGGTAAAGGAATGCCACATTGTTGGGCTGCAAAGAGCAATTCTACTCTCTGTTCTTTCTCCCTCAGGCTCAGATATACCGAGAAAGCTGGGAGTTCGATGCAGTTGGGGAAGCCGTGGCTCCCGGAGCGAAAGAAGGTGTACGACTCGTGCTCTGGGAAGGTCCCTTTGAGCAGTCGTCGAAGGAAATTGCTGATGGTCACTCGCATCTCCTGTTTCCCTTGGGCATCAGCCTGCATTCGGTTCATTGGCATGAGGAAGCCTAATGACTCTGGAGTGTACCCAGCGCGTACTAGAAATTCCATCATCTTCTCGTAGATCTCTAAAGTCTTGATGACAGGCATCATCATGTTTCTTGGTCGCCCTGAGTATAACTTCTCTCCTTCCGACCATGAATTCCTCTTCCCTTTCTCCTGAAAGAGTTCGTCCAACTCCAGCTCCGTCGGTCGCTTGAGGTTGCCATCCTGGTCTTCTCCTGTGTAAGGGCAGAAGTCGTCCAGGTCCAGCCGGACTCGCTTGGTTTCCGTCATCATCTCATGGTACTCCTCTGGGGTCATAGTGACTCTCTGTTTGTAGTAAAACCTGAACATTGTGATGACCTTTGACATGACTGCATTGTCATACAAGTGAGCCGCGGCCTCGGAGACATCATTGTTGATAAGTCCGTCTTCTGGCATACCCTTGCTGCCGCTCTCGAGGTTCTTAGTCCATGCTGGAAGTTTGGAAGAGGGTTCATCTTCAGGTTCGACGTCCATTTCATCGTCGTCTTCTTCAACGATTTCGTCGTCCTCCTGCTGAGCTTCCTCCTCCTGATCCATTTCCTCATCATCGCCTTCATTGTAATCGACCTCGTCAGGATTGAAGCCATAGTCGTTGGATTCGGATACGTTTTCTTGTGCTTGATTGACCGTATCTTTGAACAACGATTCTTCTTGTCGACGAACTTCTTCATCGATCTCTTTCTTTGTGGCCTCATCTTCATCGTCTTCAGGAGCTTGTAGCCGATATGGACGGATTCCACAACTTTCAAGTTCCGTCCAGCAAACTAGACACACTGCTAGCTTTGTCGGCGTCTCATTGAGACAGTGAGGACAATGGCGGCAACCTGATGTTTGCACCCTTTTGCGTTCGACTATGTAGTCAATCAGTTTGATGCGGGCCAGGTATTGCTCTTGTCCGCCAGGCTCGATGAGGTTGTTCTTGAATTGGTTGACGATGTTCATGGCATCCATGGCGGTTTCGTCAAACGGTTGGTCTTCGGCGCCGATGCACTGACTTGCAACTCTCAAGATGGACTCCTTGGTGGCTACCGTTCTTGATTTGATAGTTCCAGACCGGACTACCTGGTCGTCGCCCGACGGGACGAACAACCGGAGCCATGTCTTATTGTTTTGGTCCTTGGGGTCCTGAATCCATCCTCCTTTGACTGCCGAGAACGGGATGATCTTTGGTGAAACGATCTGTCCCGAGTCAGTCAGTCGACCGCCATATTCCACCATCAAGGTCTCGGTCGGGACGAACAAGCATATGTAGTCCCCCCTTCGCGTATCAACGCTCTTCGTGATGGTCCATGATCTGTGATCCCATGGCACATACGGGTTGAAGAACGTGAACATCCGATGACCTTCTCCAAGACCTCCTGGAATTAATCCCTGCCTCCAAATGCTTCGAAGGTTGGTCTTCTTGGTGATGTGGAAACAGACCGGTAACGACAAAATGGTGTTGGGCGCGATTGGATGTGAAAGTAATGAGGACAGCAATGAGACGTCGTCCCTCGAAGATCCTTCCTTGTGCCCCGTAGGAGCACGAACCGCCACAGGGTAGAGCAGTAGACCTTCATCAGGGATGTTCGTGTCAGCATCGACTTTGTTGTCAATGCACGTCAGGCTGGTGCGCTCAATGTCCTTGTTGATACCAAATGCCAAGACTTGTTCACGAACACGACGTCCGTACCGGGCACAGTGGAACATGATCTTGAAGAGCAATGTCATGCGGAAGTTTGCCTCATTGAGATTCCAGGCATTCTGATCATTTGCTCTCCCTTTTGGGGCAAGGAATACATGTGGCCAGCGTGCGTACTCGTGCCTCCAGATGGACTCACATTTGAGCACCTCCTCGATGGGCACCCAGCCGGCGTCGTCACATGACAGACTCTGTTGTTCTGATACCTTCCCCACGTTGTGCCGCAAGATCCTGTTTAGTGAGGTACTCACCTTGTCCTCGTAGGGATTGAGTCGGTTGCCAGTCTCGAAGCGGTAGTTGGCTGCATATTCGACACCGCCAAAGTAGGAGCAGTTGAAGAAATGTGCCCCCGTTGTTGGGATGATTTTCAAGAAACCATCTTGCGGCGCCTCGACTCTCTTGTAGAAGGGCTTCCTGATGTTGTTATCAGAGTAGCTTGCCATGAAGTCTGGCACAGACCAGGAGTCACCTCCTCCTCTGACAATAGCGTCTCGGACCACTTCGTTGAGGTCAACAATGTTCTGTGGTCCTAGCTTTGTAACATCGCGTCCTTCTATGCAGAATTAATCTACCATACTCATCGAGGTCACCAACTTCAGACATAGTCCTGATGCTGTCGTACCATTGGTGTTCACTAAACCTCGATTTTGTAGGTTCATCCGTTTGCCCCGACCCATCAGTAGCACCTGAACCGTCCTTCTTGTGCTCGGGAGGCTCCATATCGACGTCATCAGATGTTGGACTATCAGCCTCGAGCGACGCTCGGACGGCCTTTAGCACCTTTCTGACTTCATCCCTCTTCTCATGTCCACATTCAAGATGGCCGTGTTTGGTGCTACCACAATACAAGCACACATTGACATCCTCGGAGACGGTAAAGAGTTTTCCCAACGCATCCAAAAGTTGTTGTTTCCCGGAAATCTCTGAGTCCCTGACAACATCGGTGGGATCATTTGCTGGCTCATCAGCTTCCTCCTCCCCAGGGTGAGCCGACGACTCGTCACCTGGCTTGGCATCGGCATCAGCGCCCATGCTAGCGTCACCCCCTGTGATGTTGTTCTTTCTCCGATAATGAGAGAACACCTGATCCTTCTCCCACTCCGTGAGGCAGCAGAAGTTGGCCAGTGAATCATATCCGGGGATTGCGTGGATGATCTTCATGACCCTTTCAGCTTCTGCGGTTTGCAGTGTGCAGTCAAAGGATCCCCGTCTCTTGTCATTGATGGTGCTTGAGGTTCTGGAGGTCGACGTGAATTGAGCCAATGCCTTTTCCAATCCATTGAGATACTCTGCTGGATCGACACTGGCATTGAAAATATCCACGACTCCTTTGGCCATATTGGCCACGTCCAAGACACCAAGCCAGAACTCGATGATATCTCCAGTTTTCTCGGCAGATGCACGGGAGAATCCAAAGATCTCGTTCCTCTCCTTCACCTCGGGAACGGCAACCTTTTCGAAGAAGTCTTTGTATGCGACATTTCCGCAATCCTTCGTGACTCTGTAGATCAAGAGCCACTTCTTCGCAACATCATCGAAAACTCTTTCGCGATAGATGCTGAATTGCTTGCCGCGTCCGTTTCGGAAAATTTCCAAAGCTTGTCTCTTCGAAATTCTGACTCCTCCCATGTGAGATAGAGATTTCATCAAGTGCTCCCCATACGCCAACGATGCGTTTGAAATCAACGAAGACGCAATGAATGTGAGCCAGTTTTGAAATCCTTGATGGATGTCAACAATGTCAACACCAAGATCCTCGAA